AGCAGCTAGAATCTTTCATCAAGCAGAATCATCATTAAAGATTCCGAAATTTTCAGATGGGGCTGAACAACAGTGATAAACTGAACTTAGATTGGCATTCAATGTTAATAAACAGAATTAATTATACATATGTATATATACAATTAACAAAGCAGCTGACACTCCATACTTGGCAATGTAAACTCATACATTGAAAAAGACTTTGAGAAGAATTAGAAACACAGTGTCCCAATGAGCTTAAGAATAACTCAATCCAACCAATTGGACCTAAATAATAAATAAACGCAATTATGCATCAGAAACCGAAGTATTTTACCGTGAACGCCCACATACAACAAGCAGATAGATATAAGCCACCGATTTTTCAAAACAAAGAAATTTTGGTTGAAAATAAAAGTTAAAAAGATCGAAAGAAAATAAAATTCAACTTCATCACATTCTGCAAAAGTATGAGAAAGCTAAAGTCACCTGCAAAATTGAGAACGTTATTGCAATGTGAGGTGCTCGAAGGAATATATCAATTGGGGAAATACCTTTGGAACTCAATAGAAGTCAAAATTAGGGCAATTATGGTCTTGTAATGTAGATTCGGAGAAAAAGATGCGAATGTGAAATAGGAGNCGTGAATGTCTAGACTCTACATATAATGACATGGCATGAAAGAGAAAGGATAAAATGCAGAAGAAGACTTGTTGTCTAGACTCTAGACACAATGACATGGCATGAAAGAGAAAGGATAAAATGCATAACAAGCCTTGTTAGAGCTGATGAGTCATTCTTTTCCCTTTAATTATTTCTTTTTTATTTTAATTAAACTAGTACATATCCCGTGCGATGCACGGGACAAAGATATTAAATGAGTTATTTTAACACCCTTGTCCGTTTAATTCTAAAAAATAATAGAGTTATTATCTATTTTTTACCTCTTTTAATTAACGTTAAATCTAAAAAACAATAAGGTTATTATAAGTTTTTTTCCACATCTTTTAACCAGCGTTGTTTTTTTTAGCAAGAACATTAAATATGAGCATGTTAAGGCTAGTTGTAATTAATATATTATCTCACTAAAATATTTATACTAATAAAATTAATTTTAGCATATAAATTTATCCCTTGATATAAGAGAAAGTAACTGTTTTACTTATTGTTAAATAGTGTAGTAGAATTGTTATAAAATTATATGAATTATTTTTTTTACAATATGGATTTAATATCATTAAAAGATTTGATAATATAACAATAATATATTTTTAATGATATAATAATATGAGATACGGATTTACATAATACTATGGATTTATTCCTTAATGTTAAGATATTGAATTAGGTAATATATGATTCACTAATTTGTAATCTGTCTCTTTTTATATTGAAAATAATCATGTGATTGAGTAGAGATAACAATTATCTATAAATTCCTTCATTTGAGGAATAATTTTTAAATTGGTCCAAGTGTTGAATGCAGTCTGATTCTCTTGTAACTAAAATGAGAAGAGATTTTGAATTTCAAATTTTCACTTCAAAACCACACGTAAATTTGGAAGCAGATTTTATTAAAAATAAAATGAGAAGAGATTTTGAATTTCATTCCTTTAATATCTGTCAAAATTCTCAAAAATGAATTCAACAAAACCCATAATTTTATGGGCATTTAATGCTACCCTATTTTATGATTTAAAATATCTAAAACTTTCTAAATATGGTGTACAATTAATTATTTTAAAAGATGAACCGCTTTTGTTACCAAAAAATGTGTGGGTACAATTTTGAATGTACATCCCGTCCAAATATCATTTTTATTTTAAAATAAAAATTGCACGTGGTTTTAACCAATTTACACACTTTTTTTGAAAGAAAAAATTATTCATTAAGATTGAAAGAATTGGTTAGAAATTATACAACTATTTGTTTCGTAAATTTGTATCCAATTTGCACGGTTTTTAAATTGATTTGTATTTAGAATTGTTTTCATAAATAATTGACACATTTTTTGCATAAGAATCTCTAAATTTGTTACCAAAAAAGATATGATTTAAATTTTGGTAAAAAAATAAAATATGATATGAAAAAAATGGGATTCAAATTTTGCCATAAGAATCTCCAAATTTGTTACCGAAAAAATAGGATTCAGATTTTGTTTCTAAAGATTTAACTGTATTTTATCGAACTTTCCATTAATAGTAAGTCAAACATTATATTTATTTGGTCAAACTTTCTATTAATGTATTTTTCCAACAACCTCTTTATATATACTAGTATAGTCCCCGTGCGATGCACGAGGTTTATTATCTCCGTTCCTTTTCTAAAGCAATGTTCAGTTAAAATTCAAAGTACTTACTAAATGAAAGATCATGTCATTAATAATAAATAAACTAATAAATACAATGATAATAAAATCTATATATTATTGAACACTTCCTTATATACAACGTTCATGGTTTGATTCTTTGGCACGTCATTGTCGCCACAAATTAGGACTTTCAAACCCATTTCTGTTTGTGACACGGGAGACAGCAACATACAATTGGTCATGACTAAACACTGGTTTCTTAAGAAATAAGCCCACATGCGATATTGATTGTTCCTGACTCTTATTTATAGTAATGGCGTAAGAAAACATAATGGGAAACAATCAATCCAATAACATCTACAAAAATATAAAAAAATGCATCATATTGAAATGTATAACATATAAAATAGTTTATTACAGGTTTTAAATTAAAAAAAAAATCGAAATAAGAAATAAAAAAAAAATTATAACGTACCAAACAACATGACTTCATCAATGTTACGAACATCCATTAAAGTTAGAAATAAGAAAATCATTCCTCCATTTGATAATCTTGGTTTGGCCATTGATAATGATCCTCATTTTTTCCTATCGTCGATTTATGGATGTCAATATTGTTTTCCACTTGATAGTTTGTCCAGATATAAGCGCCACCTTCTTCAATCTCACCGATGATTTTTTGGATACTGACAGGTCGAATTATGCCAGTAATTCGTCCTCCCTAAAACATTGCATAATGAATAATTCAATAAATAAATTATAAAAGATGTTGCATTTAAATATTACTAAATGAATATATTATCTCAAAATCATGAAAGATAATCTCAAGAACATTTCGGTAATTGCGTACGTCTTCAACTCGTTGGAACATCCTAATTATGCGTAGCTTGATTGGTGGCTTATTAGATCTTTTGATATCCTTGATTACTCTAAAATCCGAAGCCATTTTCAATGGTGATGTAAAAGCTTGTAGAAAAAAATTGTTTTGTGGGATATATTGGATGTCGAATACTTTTTGTTCAACGTTGGTGATGTTCATATAGTCATGTGTATGTGACATATGTCTGGAAAATAAAAAAAAAATTACGTAAGATATTTAATATGATCCGATCCGTTTTTTTATTATGATTATTATTGACTTCTAAAAATATGTGTTTATCGGTTTTGTTAAAAAAATAAAAAAAAAATGTGGAACGTGATTCACTTGTGAGGGACGAACGAATATTTAGAAGATTATGTAGCCAAAAATAATGGAGTTGGTTACAATGAAATTTGGTAAGACATTTTGGATAGATTGAAAAATAATATTTTTATTTTTATATTTTCCTATTTATTTGGACAAATCCAAAACTTTAATTTACGAAATTATAATCTTTAATTTTTTGAAACGTGTAAAATTTTCTAAGATAACTTCTATAAAAAAAAATGTGATCAAATCATAATTTATTTTTATGCCTCAATATTCCAAATCAAACCTTACAAATATGGTATGATTATTTACTATTAATATTTTATTTTTTCAAACGTCTAATTCTCTTAAGTTTATATGAAACAATGTTCAATCAAATTAAAATTGATTTTTATGCCCACACTAAAACTTTATCAATATGATATGTTTATTTTATTTATTTATTATTTTTTCAAATCCACAACTCAAATTTTCGAGAGAGAGAAAAAAAAGGAAACAAAATCTTATCAAACCTTATCAAATTTTCGAGGAAGGAAAAAAAAAACAAAACAAAAAAAAGTTGGAAACAAATTCTTATTGAACCTTATCAATATTGAAGATATGTGTTTCCATGAAAAGCTAACAAAATCCCGTGGTTACCAAAATCCTATCAAATTAGTTAACAAAATCACATTAAATTGGTTAACAATATTGGAACGCATTTTCTTAGGAAAGATTTACGTAATTTATCTATCTAATTAATATCATATTAACGTGTGGGCCCAATGATATTAATTTAGTATAGCATCCATTATCTCGGAATAATTTTTTGTTTGATTTACAACATTAATTTGAATGAAAAATAAATCCGTAATTGTTGAGATATCTCAATTCAAAGTGTCAATTTTTTGCCATAAGAATCTTCAAGTTTGTTACAATAAAAATAGATTCCTATGGGATTAATATTTAAAATGAATTATATTTTGGTTTAAGAATCTCCAAATTTGTTATCATAAGAAACCCATAAAAATCTCCTATGAATTGAAGTTTATCAATATTTAGTATAGCATCTATTATTCTCGGAATAATTTTTTGTTTGATTTGCAATATGAATTTGCAGGGGAAAAAATCTGAAATTGTTAGGATATCTCAATTCAAAATCTCAATCTTTTGGCATAAGAATCTCCAATTTGTTACCATAAGAATCCCATAGAAATCTCCTATGGGATTGGAGTTTATCAATAGTTGGTATAACATCCATTATTTTTGGAATAATTTTTTGTTTGATTTACAACATTAATTTGAATGGGAAAAAATCCGTAATTGTTGGAATATCTCAATTCAAAATCTCAATTTTTTGGCATAACAATCTTCAAATTTGTTACCAATAAAAGTAGATTCTTATGGATTAATATTTAAAATGAATTAAATTTTGGAATAGGAATCTCCAAACTTGTTACCATAAAATCTCTATTTTTTTTGGGATATCTCAATTAAATTTGTTACCATAAAAATCTCTAAATTTGTTACCATAAAAATCTCAATTATTTTGGTACATGTGTTTTTTTCGAAATTTCCATTAGTAGTAAGTCAAATCATTTATTTTTTTAGTCAAACTTACTATAAAAGTATTTTTTCAACAATCTCTTTATATTACTATAATTATATCATTAGGTTCAGAAAGAGGCATAAACTGCCAAAAGCACGTAGAATTTTTGCGGGAACTACGCGCGGGAACCAGAGGAAATTGGAAGATGGAAAACATTAAGAAAATCGGTAGGCTTCGTCGCTCATGAACTCAGTTAATCAACATTTAAGAGAATAGGAGGTGGGGATTTTGGATGTGAAAGTGTAACCAAGGAGCGTTGCAAAAGAGGTATCTTTTTCGCGACTCTCTTTTTTTCCTCAATTTTTTCCTTTTTTTTGTTTTCTAAGTTATCTGCTAGACCTTCTTTTGCGTGGTAGTGTGTTTATGTGTGTGTGTATTGGATTTTTTTCGATTAGGGTTTCGACTTGTTGTGTTCCGACTTTTTTACATGCTCCTCATGGTTATTCTGTCAAACACAAATACTGCCATATCTATTTTGAGGTCCTCACATGAGGCTTACATATTAGCCAGAGTTGTATTTGTTGGGTTCGCTATACCGTACGGGGTAAAACGCAGCGGAAATAAAACAAAATAAATAAGCATTTATCTAATAAATACTAAACCCCTCGGTTCAAATAGCGATTGTTACGATCGGCATCTTTTAAAATCACGTATAAATACGAATTTTGATTTGTAATAAGTAATTTCGAAAATTACATCTTATCTTGAACTCCTTCTTTATACGACGATGATTGAGGAAATCAATTCCCGGTTGTATGTGACTTTCACCGTCTCTTGTTACTCACCCGAGGGATCCAAGTGTCTCCCCTCTAAAAGTATCCACCCTTTTGTAATTCAATCTCGAGAACTAGTTTCTTCGCTAGTAGAAACTTCTCGATTTGTTCAATTAGTATCGAAATATTTATTTCAGAGGAGATTATAATTTTAATCTTTATTAAAATTTTCAAGAACTATTCTTGATATGGAAATAATTCTCTAAGTTCAAGAACACTTCTTGATTTACAACTCTTGTGATTTTTCTCTCTCAATTTTCTTGTTAATACAAGTGTAACATTTGTACATCACATATGTACACCTATTTATACTAAAACATCTAGATCACAGGATGTCATATTGTATTTTAAAATCATTATTTTATTCAAATTAGATGGCATCTAGATCTAAAATGATTTTAATAAAAAAATTTCATTAGATCCCATCTAATAATATTTTATTTATTATTTTAATCTTTGATAAAAATTAATCAAAATATATTATTTCACATATTTATAAAATCTCCTCTTATTATAATCATATTATAATATGGATTTTAATTTCAAAATCTAATTTTAAAATCCAACTATTAATTTAGTAATTCCATTAATTACTTAATTAATATCCAAAATATAATTAATCAATCAAATTGATTAATTTAGTATATTCCTTTAATTGATATCTAATCAAAATTAGAATTAATTAAATAATCAAATTATTTAATTAATACTTGTCAATTAATTCTAATTCTTTAAAAATACTAATTACAAATGATCTACATTCAAAATTGGGTGTGACCTTTTTAGGTTCACTATTAATACTAGTAGTGGGTTTACAACTCCTTGTAATTTGAATTAATCAAATTAATTCTCATTCTTTGAATTAACTCCTTAATTCAAGAACCCACATATCATGGGATCATCTAGCAAGTAGCATGAATCTAGTATTAAGTGAATAGCGAGTAAACCTCTTCGATTACAAGTCCATACATGTAAAATCCTTTCGACATCCAATTTCCCGATTAAATCTTAGGTATGATTTAGTCGAAACCCAAATTGATTTAATAATTATGATTCCATTTCAAGTTTAATAATTCATATATGAATCTCTATTCATCCCGCCTTGGCCAAGGACTTTGAATTACAAACTATGAAACACATAGGAAATTCACTTATCTCATAAATGTCGAATCCTTTGTTGGCCACTGACAAACTTCCATTCATATTAATATAATACCCAAAATATCCCTTTATACGACTGTGCTAGCAATCAAAAAGATAAATCAAAGTAAAATATAATATGCACAAAGTTACTATCGTGCCTCAAGTCTAAGGATCAATCATGTACTATTGTAACATGAAAATTCTTATTCGACATAATAAACTTTCATTCAGAATTTTCATACGGTTATGTTCAGTGAACTTGTTCTCTAACAAGCACCAACATATATGTATTTGCGATCCACGCTAATGTTGATGGAATGCAACATTCTTGTCAAACAAGTATACATCATATGTACAAGTCTTTCCGGATTATTCGATATCCCATCTCGAAATATCCAACGACTTGGAACTGTATTTAAGATCACAACTTTAAAGATATGTTCCATGATTACCATCAAATGCGCAACCATGCCTTATAGCCATTAATGATCTAAGGACTTTATCATATGTACAAATATAGGATAAAGGCAAAAACATAAGATAAAACAATGCCTTAATAATATAATTCCAATAAATTATTTTTACAAGTAGAAATAAATCCAATCTGATTGGAACGCCGGGTATTCTACTCCAACAGTATCAATATACATATATTTTGTTCATGCCAAAAGTGATGCTAAGTTAACCCATTAATCAATATACATATTTTAAGGTCCTCATTAATATTATTTATTTATGGTGAAGTGAATTAGGATCGTCTAGTCACTGAAATTGTGGGAAATTTGGGTTTGTTAATGGCGGCTCATCATTTACTACTTACCACTATGTTGCACAATTTTTTAATTTTCACATTTTTATGTATAATGATGGTTCTAACTGATTCATTTTTTTATCTCTATTTTAATGATATGGTTTTTCCTTCTATGCATATACATGAACATATTCATGGATTTTCAGCACTGAAGTAGTTTGTGTGCATTTGTGTAGGAATAGTTTCAAATGGAATCCCAAGATACTAATCCAAATTCTCATTTCCAACAATCTTTTGCCAATCCTAACATACAATTCCAATTTACAAATCATGTTAGCCAACTGAATCCATCATCATCCTCACAGCCCAACTTTTTGTATGTTCCGTTAAATGCCTCATACAATCCATTTGCTAATCAATGACCTGGAAACCAATATTCATTTCAAGATCTATTGAAAAGCCATAACAACACTTTTGACAATGTTCAAAACTTAGTTGGGTCTCAATGTCTTAATGATAATGGAAGCAATACCCAAAACAACTCACATACTTCTGTTGCCAACAAAAATTAGACCAAAGTCGAAGATATAGCATTGACGAAAGCATGGCTGTATCTATCTGTTGATTCCGATGTTGGTAACAATCAAAAGAATACGCAAATGTGGAATCGTATTTTATTGCATTGGAAGGAGAATATGGGGGCGAATTGCAACAATTCACGAAATACAAACAGCTTAGGATGTCGATGGGGAAAAATTCAATCTGCTGTTAGCAAATTTCACGGAATTTATGAGCGTCTAGAGAGGATTCCTCAGAATGGATCCAATATGGAAGATCTGGTAAGAATTGCTTTTATTTTTTGATAAATACTAAAATTTAATATAAAGTTGCTTAATACAAGTCTCAGAAAAGAGAAGCAAAGAGGGCATATGAAGATATCAACAATAAAAAAAAGTTTAAATTTGAGCATTGTTGGGAAATCATGAGAAAGAACCCGAAATGGTGTACCAATCAACTTACAAAGACAAATGGTTCAAACAAATCGAAAGCAGATAATGTTAGCCATCTGCCAACTGATTTGCTGTTCGTTAATCTTGCTGATGATACTTGTATGGATCCTCTTGGGAGTGAAACGCTGAAAATGGATGGTTTAGTGCGTCCTCAGGGAAGAAAGGCCAGTAAAGATAAAAAACGAAAGCCAAATGATGATAAGGGTGTTGTAGAGGTGTTAGGCAAGCTACAATGCACTCTAGAAATGCATGTGAACATCACTCGAGAAGAGCTGGAGCTGAAAAAAGAGCGAGAAGAAAAAGAGCATGAGCTACGTGAGCAGGTAATAAAGAAAGTTTGAATTAAAACAAAAGGCTCAGAGATTGAAAAGGAAAAATCAACAAATGAACGAGAGAGAGATCTAAAAATGAAAGAGAATGCTCAAAGATTGAAAATGAAAGATCAAGAATTGAAAGAGAGGGCTCAAAGAAGGCATGATCAAGAGTTAATCATGAATCAGGATCTGACCAAACTATCCCCAACCATGCGAGAAACCTTTGAAATGTACCGAGTTCAAATATTGAAGGAATGGGAAAATGACGGTTGCTTGAGCAGCATAAATCAGGTAATTATTTCTTATCCCCTTTATTTCTATTCAAGTATTGTGAAACATACATATTGCCATTTTCTTGTTTTATTTCTTTAAAATCCTGGTGCATAAATAAAAGAGTAACTTTAACAACAACTGGTATGTATTTTCTTTGGCTTCTTCCTTTTTTTGTTAAATTGACTTCGAATGAGTTTTATAAAGACATTAATTCAATTCGAGCAGCTTGATATTTTTTAAACGAGCTTCAGTTGACGTATCTTGTAGAAAAATGAGCATTATTAAGATATATGATATATATACTTGGTTTTGTCCAGAATACCTGTCTTAATAATTTGATTAAACAGATAGAGTGATTGGGCATTTTGTTTTTTACTTGGAGGGTAAGGCGGGTTGGAGCCTTTTCGGACATAAAATATACCAGATGATAATTATCATTTGTGGTTGATGAAGTGAACCACAATTAAACAGTAAGGCAGTGGTTTGATAAATTCAATAGAATAGCATAAGTAGGAAATGAGAGTCAAATAGAGAGTGATATGTCATTGACTCTGTCTCCAACTCCATTTCTTTTCATAGCAGAAAAATGCAAACCCAACTGCTCACTTTCGAATTTAGTATACGAGTGTTGGTTTAAAGATATTGAAGTGTGTCTGATAGTATGTTGATTGTAGACGAGTGAATATTTCCAACAGCATAGTATTTTGATGTGAGATAGTTGCCTTGAATTATTGAAGTATTTTGAGCTGGTTGACATATCACTATTCTTGCTGCAAATATATTCATAATCCATAGATTTAGAGCTCAACTAATGAGTCTTAAGAATTTTAAGAATTTAGAAAAGAAGAAAACAGTTGGGTTTTTGACATTAATGTTAAAGTTTGCTGAGTGGATGGTTCTTCTTAAGTGCTGCAAATGTCAGTTATTATGGCCATAGAATATTTTTTCGAATTTAAAGAAAAATGAAAGAGAGGAGTGTGTATGGAATGGTATATTAGTTAAATAATGTTAATGCCATGATTTGTTTAGGTGTTGCTGAACTGGTTGCCTTTTCTTTATGTATGCTACGATTTGAGTTTAAAGATCAATGAAGGAAATTTTAATTCTGTTAGCATAATAAGAGAATAAGGATGTTAGTGGTAGCCTTGTTTTGTGGAGTTTGTAGACTAATGTTATTTTGAAGCTGCAAGTATGGTGTTTTTGTTCATTCACATCAAAACACATTAGTTAGTACGTAGCTCTGGCTTTTATGCTTCTGTAAGACTCGACACATTCTTAATTTTTCTTCTCATATATTCATTTCTGCCCTATTGATCTAGATCAGGTCTTACACTCATAAAAAGCTCTAATGTTTTACTTTTTTTAGTATTTTTTAATTTTTTAATTGTTTTCTCATGATTTTGGTTAATGCAGGAACAATTAGAAGCCTCTCGGGATTTGTCTTAATCAAATCTTTACTATAAGAAGGTAAAAACAAAATAAAAGGAAAGCTCATTGCATTTCAAGTTTGATGCATTTCAATTTTGATGCAGACTATTTTATTCGTCAATAACTATTTATTTGAGTACTGGATGGTTTATTTTTTTATTATTGTTGAGATTCCAAATTCTTTTGTCTCTCAGTGTTGCATTTTGATACGAATGGTGTGATTTTTTCGATTTGCAGGGATGGCAGAACATTGTGTTTCTTGTTTCCGCTATGGTGATTTATCAGTACTGATGTCCAAAATGTTGTTACTCCTTTTAGTGGTTTGTTAGATTTTTTATTATTGGTTTTCAACTTCTATCCATAAAGTTCTAAACAAGCGCATGGTATTGTAGATTCTATAGTTTGCAGTCAATGTATGTTGATGGAGGAATTTCGCCCATAATTTGTGGCTTGTTTTTCTGTGTGCTCTGATGTATATAAATTCAAGGAGAAAAGTGAAATATTTAGTCATGTAATCAACTGGAACAAGATTAACTAAGCCAAAGCCACAAATAAATAAATAAATAAAAGAGAGAATAAAATGTATCAAGTAGCTTGATGATCCCCATATACATCCCATAAGTGGTTGATTAGATCCGCTTTCAAATCCTGGTGTATCCTTTTATCTTGAACTTGCTTCATTCGACTAACAATCCTTGAGACAAGCAACGTGAAATCACGCTCTAAAGTAACATTATTATTTGATTCCTCTCTAAGCGGCTGCCAATTCTCGGGATTTATGCCTTGACTTTGTTCACTTTCAATGATCATGTTGTGCAAAATGATACAAGTTTTCATTATCTTTCCAAGATCTTTCGAACTCCAAAAATGCGCAAGACCTTTAACAATATGCCACTGAGCTTGGAGCACACCAAATGCTCACTCCACGTCCTTTCTTACAGATTCATGTTGTTTAGCAAATAATTTTTCCTTAGCCGAAGTAGGTTGAGATATAGTTTGAATTAATGTGGCGTATTGTGGGTAAATCCCGTCCGACAGATAATATCCCATCTTATAGTGGTGACCTTGTACTGCAAACTCACATGATGGTGCAACTTCATTCACGAGATCATCAAACAACGGAGATCTATCTAAAACATTGATATCATTGTTACTACCGGCCATGCCAAAAAACGCATGCCAAATCCATAAACTCTGTGAAGCCACAACCTCTAAAATGAGTGTAGGAACTTTTTTGAAGCCATTAGTATATGTACCATGCCAAGCAGTAGGACAATTTTTCCACTGCCAATGCATACAATCTAGACTACCAAGCATACCTGGAAATCCTCGAGCCTCGCTTTCTTCTAGTAACATTTGGATGTCAGCTTCACCGGGTTTTCTTAGATATTGTTCTTCAAATACTTTGATTATCACGTCACAAAAATGCTTAAGGCTTTCAGTGGCAGTGCTCTCCCTTATTTGAATATATTCGTCCAGAATATCAGCAGGACAACCATATGCAACCATGCGTATTGCCGCTATCATTTTCTGTAAAGGACTTAAGCCGAGCTTTCTCGCTGCATCAACCTTTTGTATAAAATAATCATCGAATTTCCCGATCTTCTCTAAAATGTATTGAAATAAATTGATGTCCATTCTAAATCGATGACGAAAATGCTCAAGTGTATACTTGGAGTTTTCACCACTGAAGTAGTCCTTCTTAATTAGATCATGACGTTCTTTTCTAACACGGTGAATGTACCGTCTACCTGGCATAGATCCGCCGTGAGGACGTTTTTTGTTTACTAAGACTTGTGAAAGTGTAATAGGAACTTGAGTCGCGATGGTAGGTACTATTTCATATGTCGCTTTACTAGACGAGTTTTCATCTACCATCAGCTCATCTAATAATTGTTTCGACATCATAAGTGAATCATCACTTGAAGATGAAGTGGTAGAATCTGATTCCAGACTTGATGAAGACATTGATAAATTGTCTGCCATTGCAATACAATCACAAATTATTTTATTATCAAAGTAAAAAACTAAAATATGTTATTTTATACATATTTAAATTGTCATTATATAATTAATAAAAAATAAAAGCTAAATAGATATAACAATATTTATATAAAGATTATTTTATTTACTAAAACATGTATCTAGTATTTACTAAAATACTATCTAAATTTTGAAGAAAAATTTTAATTTAAAATCAAACTCATCNTTAATGTACGTAAAGAAAAATAAAAGAACAAAATCGATATACTTCTAAAACTATATTACAAAATTGATGGTACAAATGATATAAATTTAACATATATATTTTGTTAAAAGAATGCATTAACTCTTACAAAAATACCAGACAGATGAATTGGGTTAAAATAATACTTGATAAAAAAAATGAGATGAATAAAAAAAAAAGAAATAAACAAAACAATACAAGATGAGTACCAGTTGTTTGTGGGTAGTAGCTCTCTAAATGTATTTGATATAAAAAACCTGATGAATATTTGTGGGTGGTACCTCAAAAAATAAATACGAATAATTTATAGAGGCTAGGTTTTTTTGCTGGTTCAAAGTTTGTTAAAATTTGTTAAAGGCTAGGTTTTTTTGCTGGTTCAAAGTTTGTTAAAATTTGTTGCAACAGTAAAAGCAAAAAAATAAGTAATGTTTTATCGTGAATTACAAGAATAAGTTTTTTTGCTGGTTCAAAGTTTGTTAAAATTTGTTGCAACAGTGAAAGCAAAGGTTCACAGTTTGTGTGCAAGTTTTTTGGTTTTTTAGAACGAAAAAAAAAACATGTGTATCATTTACAGTGTGTAAACATCCACCACTGGAGAGTTACATATCAACGTGACATTCTATTCCTTCTACGTGGACCAGAAGACCGTCTATTCAATTGTCAATCCGTTCAAACCATTGGAGATGCTCTAAATCTTCTGAGTATACGGGTTCCTGCCAATAAAGTAAATAACTAGTATTTGATCATGTGTATTTGCACAGATATAAAACACGTTTTTGTTTGTATTTATTAATTAGAAATGTATTTATATCATTTAAAATTATTACTTTTTCTTAAGTTATTTTTATCATTCAAAATTAATTGAGATCTAAATTTTATTTTAACCATACAATGTTTACATTAGTAACATGAATAAAATAATTTACACATGTGTGGCATATATTAAGAAAAATTAACTTAAATAAAAAAAATTATTGGTGTTCCTGATTTTTAGAAAAAAAAAATACGTGTCAATCATATTTTTCTTCCAATAATGCAACCAAATATAGCGGTTACAGCTCTGAATGTGCCAATCAACTTTAAGTTCCAACATTAGCCGTTACACATTTGAATATTTTACTACCAAATTTAGAATTAATTTAGTAACTGATCCAAAAAATAAACAATATATATATATATATACATAGGTATTTTATCATATTTTGCTAAAAAATTTAGCATTTATTTATTCATTAAGGGTATTTTAGACATTTTATCATTTTACTAATCAATTGTGCCAAGTAAAGAAATACACAGGTCCAATTATTTCATGCCACGTGGCTAAAACACATCACCCCTCACACACCCCTCTCTCTCACGCACCACACTTCTCTCTCACACACTGACACCAAAAAAAAAAGGGAATCAGTCAACACACAACGCACACACGCATACACTAGATGAACAGCCCACTGGACATCGCCACCCGCCCGAATTTCGATAGTGCCCGACCACCGCCGTCCACAGCCGCAACAGGGCCGCCGCCAGTCATCGTCGATCTGTTGTCATTACCGTCGGTCCGTCGCAACCTTCCTTCAGCAGGCCATTATTCTCATCTGCTCCGACCGGCCACATTAACACCACCGTCTGGTCCGGCGCCGGAGTTCTCATCCCTGTCGTCCTCCACTCCGTCAGCCACTGCTCGTCACATCTCTTTCACCGTCGTCCTCCACGCCGGGGTTCTCATCACCGTCCTCTTGCACATGTATATGGTGAATACGGCTCCGACCATCCACCTTCACCATCGTAGTCATCATTATTTCCCATCACGAGATCTTGGCATGGCAGAGAATGGCCGGGAGATTCACGGCGGCTAGTATAGGGGCTGAGTGACGGGATACACCATGAAATGAGATTGAAAAATTGGGGGTTTTTTTTATGAAAATTTGATATCTTCTAGGGACTTGGTTGCAATTTTCACAAATTTTAATATGCTGCACTTTATATACATGTTACGTTGCACTTTATACGGTAATATGTTGCACCCTATAACACAACAAGTTGTACCGTATAAAATGTTTCATAATATTTCATATATTTCATAATTATAAATACAAAATATCTTTATTCATGAAATAAATCTTTTGGTAAATGCAAAATAATTTTTATTAACATACACGTTATTAAAAGTTTCTTAAAAATTGAAATGCACGTAAAGAAAAAAAAAACCAGCTTATTATACTGTATAAAAAAAATCCGGCTCATTATTGATTTCTGTATTTTATATAATATATGTCACTTCAACCAAAAATAATATAAAATGTGAAATATAAATATTATAACACTAAATATATTTGTATTATATAAATAATAAATTATATAATCGAATTACTTTGTTAGTCAATCGAATAAACTAATTATTTAGATTCGGAATTTGTTTGGGTTGTGACAAAACATTAACAATATCTGATTGCACTTTAAAGGTAGACGAATTGCACTTTAATAAATATGTGATTGCACAATAGCAACTATACTTGATCGAACTAAATTTTGCAGTTCAAAATTTTATATTTTGGTGATTGCACGAAATCAAAATATAATTTTTCTTCAAAATTTTATATTTCAGTTCGATTTATTTTTTTTACATTAAAAACTTGATTATTTTGGTTCGATGTCAATTTTTTTCTTTATTTTTTTTTTATACATTGAAAAACGATTGCACTTTGAATGTGCATTATTGTCAGACTGATTGCACGTTAATGTCTTTCGGATTGCACGTTAGCGCTAGACGGATTGCACATCAGTGAATATCAAATTGCACTATAGCGACTAAACCCAACTGAATTAATTTTTTGTGTTCGAATTTTATTTCGAATCGATTATATATGTATACTTTTAAAATTTTAGTTATTTCAGATCGATGTCAGTTTTATTGTTTTATTTATTTAATTTTTATTTAAGAACCGAAATAACCAGACCGACCGGACTATATAAAAATACTATTTTATAAAAAAAATATTAATTCTTTTGATCAAAATAAATAAAATGTGAGATAAAAATATTAATGTGAAATTTTAATTATCCTATGGTGCAATTTATATAACATTAATGTGTAAGTGTTTAATTTTTCATAAATTATAAATTTAACCCATAGATTGAATTGTAATATATTTAAGTAGTTTAAATATATCAAATTTTCAAAAAACATGCCACAACTTTTAAAAATGCAAAATTGATGTATGTGGTCTGCCTTTTGCCGGCGACGGCACGACGGGGATGTGGCGGCGACGGGCGCAGTGGCAGCAGGCGAGGGCAAGCTCGGTAGGGTGATGGTTCTCGCCACCGGCGATCTGCAACTTCTCCGGTGGGGAGGTGACATGGCGGAGATGCAGTGGCCCGGCGAGGCGAGGAAGTTGTGGCCAGACTGATGGCAGAGGCGATGCGGATGACGGATGGCGGTGACCTGCGATTGGAAGATGATGGCGGACGGCTGACGGCGGATTGCGGTGCCGATGCGAGAATGCTGTGGCCGGACTTGACGGACGGATGGCGGTAACGGTCTGACGACGCGGTGACATGATCGGCGGACTCGTTGTAGTTACCTGTGAGCTTCCAGCGCCGGCAGTGTCGGAGAGAGAGAAGTGAAGATAAAACGGGGGAGAGAGGAGAGAGGAGAGAGAAGAGACTATGCAATTAATATGAGTGGGTCCCACTGGTTTGATGATGGGTGAAAATTGCATATTTCCCCTAAATGGTTATATTTGACCCAATAATGTTCAGTTATTTACAATTATGCCACCGCGATTTTGACTGTTTTAATTAATTTTGACTTCATCATCCGTTGATATGGTTGATCCTATGGTCCAAGTTCATTCTTATTTCTTTCATTGTGAGTCATTCTCATATGATCCCTTACCTAAATATATATATATATGTGTGTGTGTGTGTGTGTGTGTGTGTGTGATTCTAATTTACAGGCTCTGCACTTCTAGGTTAACCTTATTCTTTACATTCTCTCTACTTTTTCTTCAAACATGACCTATTTTCTAATTGTATTGATACTTNATTTGGGTACATCTATACTACCGAGAGTCCGGTGCGATGCACACGTGAATTTCATACCTTAAAATATTTATTTAAAATTTTATTTTAACAATATATTAGTCCGTTGACCTGTTTATATTAATATAAATAATATTTCAGCATATATAATTATTTTTAATACAAAAATATAATTTTTAAATATTTTGGTTCATCATAATACTCAAATATTAGTTTATTAAAAAATTATTTTTGTATAATGTCAATATTCTTTTTTTATATAATTTAAATATTTAATCTTTATTAATACTCCCTCCTATTTTTAATAAATGTCGTTTTGAGAAGTTGTACAATAATTAAGAATATTTTTTTTGCCAATAATAACCCTCATTCATCAGGATAGAGATTGATGTTTTGAAAAAAGGTGGAGAATGAATATGAAAAGACGTAGTGTATTTATTAGTTAGATGAGGGTAATAATGGAAAAATATGTACAAAATAGCCAAAACGACATTTATTTAACAAATGATCAATTAAGATTGGATGACAAATAATAAAAATAGGAGAGAGTATTATTTATTGATGTAAACTAATTTAAAATATATAAGTAAATTTAATATTATTTGAAATGTGATTATGTGTAAGTTAAAATAAGATGGAATGTATCCAAAAAACCTGCTTATGGTATTTTCCTTTAAATGTTTGAATGAATTTGAAATTC